GCCTCAGTTGGCCTATCTGTACAATGGGGATATGTTGAAAGTCACTTTTTCTTTTGCTAGGTGCTTAGCAGATCCTTCAGTGAAAGCTGCTGACAGGTATAATGATGAGATTGAGTGTTCACTAATCCATTAGTCAGCCCATATGTCTGGAGAAAGTGTTTGTGCCTCCTTTCAGGGCATGTCTACAGGGCCAACTTTTACTGTCCCAAACTGCTTTTTGGTGACACAACAGTCAGAGTGTTCACACTGCAATGGGCCGTGTGTCCAGAAAAACACCCAGGCTATGTCTACACTTCCCCCTCTTGAGCAAAAAAAATGCAAATGAGGTGAAGCGTGGACTATCGCCATGCCTCATTTTCATAATTAGTGAGGCTTCGTTTTTGCGCAAGAGGCTTTTGCGCCAAAAGGAGCCATCGACATGGCTCCTTTTTGCACAGAATCCTCCTCTTGCGCAAGAGCCGTTAGTCCTCTTTTCTTCAGGAAGAACGGCTCTTGTGCAAGAGGGGGTTTTTGCACAGAAAGGAGCCGTGTAGCTGGCTCCTTTTTGCGCAAAAGCCTCTCCCACAAAAATGGGGCCTCGTTACTTATGCAAATGAGGCATGACAATATTCCATGCTTTGCCTCGTTTGCACATTTTTTGCGCAAGAGGGGGCAGTCTAGACATAGCCCCACAGTTTAAGACAAAATACTCCCCCCCTCCCACAAGAGACCTTTTTCACCCTTCCTTTATTGTCAACAAAGAGCTAGTGCAGAGTCTGCTGTTTGTTTTGTTAACAGATCTGGCTTCCCCCAGTATCCCAGAAAGCCTGCCCTGATGGCTCTGCTCAGTGTTTTGATCTCTGCTGCCCTGCAGGCCTGTGCCCCTCCCCTTCCAAAGCCCGGGACGTGTCTGACAACTGAGTGAGCTGTTCCTTTGTGTAACAAACAAAGAACAAACCATTGGATTGCTCCTGTTCTGGCTGGCACTAGGAACACACGACAGGCAGGCTGCTGCTGCGGGGTGAGGGAGGAAAAACACTGCTACTTTCATCTTCCTTACCATGGAGAGCTCACAGATAGGCTCATGGTTCTCCCGGCAGCTGAGGTTGCTTTCGGGAGAACTCAGAGGAAACCCCAAAATGTGCAGGGATCTGCTCTGCCATCCCACAGCATGGCACCGTAGGACACATTCCCACAATGCATTGCGCACATGTCGATGATGGTGCCCCCAATGTGGACGTGACTTGTCGACAGATGGAGCAAGCATGAACACCCTCTGGCAATTTGTGTTTTGTCGACTTTTGAGTGTTGACATGAGTTTAGTTGGCAAAACTTGGTCATGTGGACGTCTCAGGCCCCTTTCTCCAGACTTGTCTGTCTGTCTGTCTGTCCGCTATTTTCTCATCCACCCTGGACATTTGCAGAGTATCAGACCCTTTAGAGATCTGCACATGATCCAAAGTTCAATTAACTCTAAGTGTGAAATACGAATGGACAGAACGTCCAGTTCCTCCCTGACTCACCCCAGAGCCCAAGAGTTCTCCTCTCCCTTTGGGAACGGTCCTTAATTGCTGTTTATTCCTAGAGCTGCATAAAGCACACTGAGACAGAGACAAGCTGGTCTCCAGCCTGTTTACATGGAGATGCCGCTTTTCCATTACAGGCTGAGCAAACCCCACCGGGACTGCACAGAGCCGTGTTATAAACCGTGCCGGTTGCTGTCAGCTCTTGGCATGGGATTTTTCAGCGGAGGTTGGAGTCAGATGGATGTGGCACATCGTAGCCTAAGAGAGATTCCCCAGGAAAATCGTTATGCCTCCAAATTCAAAGTATGCATGTCTGGCTCGACAAAGCCAGGACCAGGTGTGTATGATGGGACAGGGAGTCAGCCGGGGCCCTTTCTGCTCCACACAGACTGTAACCATCACAGGGTTCTTGTCACAGTTTATAACTGCTCCAGTATCACTGGCCAAAATGTCACATTTTTCAATGTAGCCCCCCAGCGCATGGCTCCCAATCCAATGTGCCTGCCTCGGTATCACAGAGAACCCTTCAGGGGGAAAGGTGTCAGTAGATGTATGATACAAGGCCAAATTCTGCTGCCACAGCACCTAATTTGCTCAGACTGCCCTGAGACAAAATTTTGCTTAGAATAAAAACTGAGTAAAGACCTC